AAAGAAGCCCAGTATACCATGGTACTGATAAGCAGCTGAGTTTTGATTGATGAGTTTGGACATTACCTGGTAGTTAAATAATTTTTCACTTATCAGAGGAGAGCACTTTATTCAAAGGACTGTAGCAGAATAAAAGAAATGCTACATATATTACACTGTAAAAGCAATTTCACATCCATTCGATTAATACTTTGAACTTTCTTTCTGATAAAAAGAAATTATTAGTTTTCATTTCTACGACACAAGCTCAAATTAATCTCTAGGATAAATGTCTCAGTGCATGGAAAAAAATGATGATCTCGCTACAACCATGATCCAGAACTAAAACACTATAGGCACAACGGTTACATAAGGAAATTGCTCTCAAATATCATTATCTGCTCAAAGAACCGTTATGCGTGTCAATAAAATACAACCCCCCATGTGACATTAGTAAATGCTGGCTTTTTAATGTCAGCCACTCTATCTGTAAGCACAGGAACAAAACTCTTGACCTTCATTTCCAAAAAAACCACCGCTCTATCACTTTGATAAAAGAAAATAATTTTATTCTATGCTGTGTAATAAATGATCTTATATCTCAGCTGACCACAGATGAAGGGCAGGACAAGCATGAGCACCTGAGGTGGTTTGACAGTTCATCTCCAATACTGCAAAACAAATACACACATTAAAATTAAGGAGGTGACTCCAAGGTCTGGTATTACGGAAAGAGAGGAAGAAAATGAGACTAATTGGAAAAAATAAATTGGTATGTCAATCTTCTTCCCATTTGCTTTTCTAAACAGCCAAGTTCTTAGGAGTGGATTCTCACTTTAAAGTTTATTTATTTGCTGTCTAGAATTGCTTTCCCTTCTCCATTGGCTTCAGAGAAAGTCCAGGGCAGCTAGGAGGAGGTGCTTAAATTTTGATCAGCAAAGTTCAAAGCTTAGAGAAGCTTTTGGGAATGAGGCAGTCCCAGATTTCCTGGGGTCAGTGGCCCTATGACCTTGCAGACCTCAAAAACTGCCCTAAGAAGAAAGGTTTAGGAGTCTCAGTGAAGATGGCTAAATTTGCAACAACACTTCCAGTACTCAGCAGACTGCCTACGGATATTCAAAGAAGACAAAGTACCATGTTATAATCACTTAAAGTGAACAACAGCACAATATGCTTATCTGGGGTAGTGTGTCTGTTTTTAGGCACTTTAGGTATGAAGTGACTTGGAAAGATGTTAGGTCACATATTCCAAGAGCAAATAACAGACAAAGAGTAAAGGAAGGGACATCAGTTCAAACTAGGGTACTAGTTAGAGATTTCTGGGAATCTTGCATCACAATCTTCTTTTTATTGCATCCCTCTACTTCTCTGCAAAGCCTCTGACCTCTATATCCAGACATCATATGCCCAGCCAGTGCTCTCTGAAAGCATCCTCCAGCCCCAGAGCTCCCCTTCACTAGTCCCCAAGTCCAGCTCACTTTCGTTCTTGACCACCCCAGATCCTAATCCTTCCTGCTCTCTAGACCCCTCTCAATCCCCAGCTCACAGTTCTACTGCAGAGCTTCCAATACCCCAACACAGAAGCCAGTATTTGTCGTCTTCTCCTCTTTTTATCCTCGGTAGATTTCAAAAGTACCCCTAATGTTCCCATCTGTCAGCAGAGCCCTCACTCTTCCGTGGTCTTCTACAGCCAGCTAATTCCGCTCTCTCACTGGGAGATATCATTGCTTCATCATTACCTTCCACAAAAGCAAAATTTCACCTCCTGCTTGAAGAAACTGTGCCTTGCTCACACCTTGTAGCCGTTTAGCCCCACAGCCCAGAGAAGGTTGCAGTAACTGTGGCCGTCAATCAGGCTGGCCTTTACAGGACCCCAGGGCCAGTATCTCCAACCTGATCGGCCCAGGGGCTACCCCGGGTGCTCTGCTATTTTGGAGGACCTTGCATCGAAGTCCTCAAACAGGTCTGCACTCAAATGGAGGACGGGCAGCGGACCAGCAAGCACACGCCACGTCTGCCTGAAGTCACCGTTATGCTGCGTAACA